CCCACCCCGCCTCCCTCGCCCCCTTCACCCCCGACGCGTGGGTCTCTGACCTGTATCCCCGGTGCCCGCGGTAGCAGGCGGCCGGGCAGTCGCAGTCCACCGGGCTGTCGTCCTCGTCAAAGGGCGCGTACTCCAGGCCCGGCTCGGCGCCCTCGGGCAGCCGCGGGGTCTCCGCCACGCTGCCGGCGACAGGGACGCTCAGCACCCGCTCCCGCGGGCCGGGCCTTCCCGCTGCCCCTTTCTCAGTGCAGCGCGTCCCAGGCCTGGTCCTCCCCGCAAGGTCCAAGGTCAAGGGGGTGCGGCCGGCTCCGGGGTCTGCGGCCTCGGCCCCAAGAGGGTCAGGCCGGAATTTTAGGAACCCAACAGGGAGCCTCCCTTACAGGCCCCGCCCCCCCACCTACCCCAGCCTCAATGGTGTCATGTTTTGCGAAAGGGAAACAAGAGCATCGAGCCCTCCCCCATTACATAGACATCCCCCTTTTAAGTTCCTCTCTCATCAGTGAGACCCCTCTTCCAGAATGAGGCCCCTCCCCTCACTGAATTTCCTCGCCGCACTGATTCTTTGTCCCTCAGTCCCATTCATTGCGCCCCACCTCCCCTTACCCAGACAGACCCCTTTCCCCTTATTGAGCCCCTTTCATCGATCCCTGTCCCCCTTAATCTCACTGCTCTATTTCTGAGCCCCCTTCCTCTCTCTAAGCCCACTCCTCTTCCCTAGCCCTCCTTTTCCCTTACTGAGCCCCCTCACTGATATCTGTCTTTCCCTAACCCAGCTGTCTTAGTCCCTGAGCCTTCCACCTCTGCCCAAATGCCTTCCTCCCTCACACCCCTCCTTCCTCCAGCCCTGGCCGCCTCTCTGAAATATTCATAGCCTCTCCTCACCCTCCTCTCTGCAGCCTCCAGAGGCCTTGCTGCTCTTCTCTGGCAGCCGGCAGCCGGGCTGTCATCAATCACTGCCTGATGGCAGCAGACTGGGGCCCCAGCACTCTGCCGCCTCAGATGCGCCCCATCCATCTTGCAGAGCTCTCCCCAACACTCAGCAGGGACCCCCTGCTCCTAGCTCAGGAGCCCCCAGCCTTCTGTCACAGATGTTTGCACCCTGCAGGCACTTTTAAGAAGAATGCTTTTTTCCAAAAAGCAGCTGGGCTTAAGGCAAGCCCATCAGCTTTGAAGCTGCAGATGTGCCTGGATCACACACAGTCCCTGAGTCACTGTATGACCTGGTGCCTGTTATGCCCCATCTCTGAGCTTCTGCTCCAAGATGAGAGTGACAACTGTGTTATAGGACTGTTGGGAGAATTTGCTGAGGTACCGGGTGCTGTGCAACTTTGTCTTTTATTGAACAAACCCAGAAGTAACCCTCTAAAGGCCCAGCTCCAGGATAATGGCTCCAGGGTAGTGTCCCCCACCTCCATGTTTCATTCCGTGCTGGCTCAGACAGTGCCCCTTCCAGATGGATGTTCAGCCCTGATTTCCACAGAACTACCCTCACTCCTGGATGCCATTCGCCTGGCTCATTCGTTTCCCTGCCCCAAAGAGGGAGGCCAGGTCTTGGATGGCAGAGCGTTAAGAACATGATACGAGCTTTGCATTCACACAGACAGGTCTGAATCCAGGCATGACCAAGCTCACTGAGCCTCGAGGTCCTTATCTATCCAATGAAGGAAAGGCTATTCTAGCTTTGAGGAGAGGATTAAGTGAGATTCTGTCTTTGAAGCTCCTACTGTCCTACACACAGCTGCCATTGTTAGACAAGGATCCTCTGTCTGACACTCACACGCCAACACCTTCTCTTCCAAGGAGAAAAGCGTTGTGACACATGAAATAGAGAGCAAGGTAGACAGGCCACAGCTACTGGGGGCAAAAAATTTTTCAGGGACAAATCTCTAGCAGAGCACCCACTAATCTGCTAATCTTGAGTCTCAAGAATGCCATTCAATTCCTATAACACCAACCTGTGCCTGGCAGCCTTGAAGTCACCTAGGTAGGACAGGGGCTTTTTTTCTGGGGTGATGGAGGAGAGGCTCATGTCATTCCCCTCACTCCCACAGAGTCAAACACCTCCACATCCCTTCATTCAAACCACCCTGCTCTTCCCTTCGCTCCTCTTCCCAAAGCCAGTGACCTCCCGCCTC